GCTGGCTGCGTGTTGCGGTGGCGTTTATCAAGCGGAGAGCATCTGACGTCACCACTGGATGGGATGACGAAGTTCACGACGCCCCTCTCAACACCATGATGAAGGAGGTCCTCGCTAGAGTACGCAAGGAAGACCCAGCGCGGGCAGATGGTGCGTTGACAGCCAAGACCTCTGTGTGGGGTTGACGCAAGCTCTCTTGCAACCGGCGTATCGATAGTTCACGATGGAGCCGTGGTAGAAGATGCTTGCTGGTTACGTCCAGAAAGGGACTCCCAGCACATAAACCTAGCGGAGCTCGATGCTGTCATCAAGTGGATCAACTTGGCGATCCTCTGAAGTCGACCAACCTGCGTCTGTTCACTGATTCCGCTTGCGTTTATAAGTGGATCTCTGATACCTTGACCGGGAGGGCCAGGGTGCGGACTAAATCCACCAGCGAGATGCTTATCCGACGACGGCTCGACACGATCGTGAATTTAGTGCAAGAGTACGCACTGACAATGGAGGTGTCCCTGGTCAAATCTAGCCTCAACAAAGCAGATTGTTTAACGAGGGTGCCGCAAAGGTGGCTTGACGCCGCTAAGAAAGCCATTGAGCCCGTGCAACCAGCCTGCGCTGCGTCCGTGAGTCCCGTTCGATTTAATCAAATCAAAGAAGTCCACCAACAAAGTGGGCACCCTGAGTCAAGCGGACACTGTATTTCGCCAAGTTGGTTGACCCAGGAGTACAAAAGACAGACGTCAGGAGAGTGGTCAGAAGCTGCGTGGCGTGCCAGTCTATAGACCCAGCACCCGTTCGCTGGAAGAAAGGGCAGCTGAGCGTGAGGAACCACTGGAGCCGGCTGGCGATAGATGTTACTCACCACAACGGCGAGCATTTCCTGACACTCATTGATTGTGGTCCATCCAGGTTTGCGATATGGCGACTGCTGCGTCGGCAAGATGCAGCCACTATCATCCGTCAGTTAAACAGCATCTTTCTTGAACGTGGCCCCCAACGGAGATATTAACCGACAATGGCACCGCATTCACCAGCGAGCAGTTCAGGAAGTTTGCGGATGGCTGGGGAGTGCACTTTACGGTTCCGGTGCGCCCACGTACCGAGTGGAAATGGAATCATCGAGCGGAACCACAGGACCGTCAAGACCATCGCAGCCAGGACGGGCTGCGCGGTGTCTGAGGCGGTCTACTTATACAACGTGACCCCGAAGGATGATGTCTCACCCTCTACGGCGCCAGCAGACACATTGCATAGGTACCACGTTAGAGTGAAGGGCATAGAAACCAACCCACTGACGGAACTGAAAGTAACCGGAGAGAGGCTGAAGAAAGGCGATGTCGTCTGGGTTAAAAATCCGCACAGCAAGTGCACCACGAAATACGGAATCGGACGCGTCACTGAGGTGATCAGCCCACAGGCGGTACGGGTCGACGGTGTGCCCCGTCACGTTAAGGACCTGCGTCCGTCGACGCAGTTGCAACCACCGCTGGACGATGAGAGCGAATCGGAATCTGAGACCAGTGAGGCATCGCTCTGGTTCACGCCAGCCCCATCAGGCAGTGACTCGGATATCAGTAGCCTTCCAAGGGACGCGGTGTCTTTCGACCCTCAGACCTCAGACAGGAGCACAAGCAACGATGAGGCTCGCAGCGTCCCTCTTCGAAGAAGTACCCGGCGCAAAGCGATCACCACCTCCCTGTCAACTCTGTGATCATGAGATCAGGGGGAGTGTGGATAAAATAGAAACGGCCTACCTCACAAACGTTCTCGCATCTGCCTGGCCTGTGGGTTGAGAAAGGAAAGAAAAGATTCAAAATGGCGTCCGTGACTTTTAATATTGACGGTCTCGTGCAGTCACGCAAAGTCGCGTTACACACATGCTAATGAGGTGTGTCTGGGCTCCATAAAAGCATGTTGTTTGGAGACATTGGCAGACCAACATTTCACCCGTGCTTGGTGTACATCGTTTTGCGATGCAGCGTGTCAGACATTTTCAGACGGAAAGAGTTGCGTCCCTTACACTGTTTAAGTCGACTCATTTGCTACATATATATATGTATGTGTATGTGTGTATGTATATATATTTATATAGTTTAGATATATGATTGCATATGTATGTGTATATTAACCACTAATATTATCAAATCTATCTATCTATCTATCTATCTAATATATATATATATATATATATATATATAAGTTCGGAGGTATGCAGAAATTGTTTAAGAAGACAGTGCTCCATACAGAAGTAGAGCTTTATTATAATAATAATAATATTTTTTGTTTAAAAATATGATTCATTCGCTACATAAGAATTCTCATGTTTCAAAAACGAGAGCCGAAGCCATCCAAATAATTATTAAAATTAAGCTGAATTGTGGTGTTTAGTCCCGTTTCATCTTCAAGCGAAATTTTAGGAATAAGCTATCTCTCGGTGTTTTTAGGCATGGTCCGTTACAAAATTCGTTATTGTGGGAGTGGCTCGACTATTTTCCTTCGTTAAGTGGTCAGAGAGTTAATTCTCATCAATAGATTCATCATCTTTAGAGAGGTTTTGCTAAGGTTGTGTAGGGTATCTATTTCAAGGCTAATGGTTGCGGTCACCCCTTAGTTGGTTCCGACATCGACTGACTGACCGACGATATTTAGTCACCCCACCACGAGGGCGTCATGTGGCACAAGGCCTTTTTAACGTGGGATCTCCAAGCACATGGGCTCGGCCAAAAATATGCCCATTGAACCCGTATAAACGGGTTCAGAGTCAGTTTACCTCCCCGAAAGAGAATCCGCCCTTCGGCGTAGCCTATTTGGGTTCCTCCCTGCCCAAAGGCAGAGAGTTCAACCGATCAGCCAGTCGACTGAGTGACCGACGATATTCAGTCATCCCCCCACGAGGGCGTCATGTGGCACAAGGCCTTTTTAACGTGGGATTTCCGAGCCCGTAGGACATTGTGGACTCGGACAAAGATATGCCCATTGAAACCGTATAGACGGGCTCAGGGTCGGTTTACCTCCCCGAAAGAGGATCCGCCCTTCGGCATAGCCTCTTTCGGGTTCCTCCCCGCCCAAAGGCAGAGAGTTCAACCGATCAACCAGTCGACTGACTGACCGAACCACTGAGCGACTCCTACTACTCCTATTTATTATAGGTGGGAGAGTCTATTAACAATAGAATAGGTGTGTTTCACTATAACAACCTTACATGTGTGTGTGTGTTTGTGTGTGTGTATGTACACGTGTGTTGAATATTTAGGCAACAGTCATTCTTTTATAGAGGTTTGATTGCGTGTAACTCACAAGGAAATTTTTTTATTTGGTTTGTTTAACCTTCTTACAGCATTTCTTGTATGAGGCTAACATATCTAGAAACTGTTCATACTGATTATTGTTTCAAACTTTTTCAGCCATTTCAAGGGCTCCGTTGTCAGTGAATTTCTGGTGCTTGTGTTTTAAGTTTTATACTATAGAATTAGTAGTAATTCAGAGTCAGGTCGGATAGGAGTAATAGTAATTTCATGTCCAGGTGGCAAAGACAAAGTCTGTTCCAAAATGGCCGAAAACACTTTGGACAATAATCGCTACATACAATTGCTTATACAAATTCTTAGTCCTCATAATTCAAAAAGAAAGTAAAATATTAGAAAAACAACTAAATAAAAATTTTATGAAATTCTCCTCCTTTGCCACATTCAATTAAAAATGTATGTCTCCCTCTCCCTCTCTCTCTCTATATATATATATCTATCTATAAAAGGCAGGATGTGTGTGTGTGTGTGTGTGTGTGTAATGAATGCACGGCCGCAATTTTCGACGGATTTTCACCAAAATTTACATGCACATGCTCAAAGTTAGCAAAAAGGCCAAGACCGACTTAGTATTTCCCAACTCCCATCGATAGTGGAAATAATTTTTTCATGCTTCTACGGCAGTTTTCATGTAGTTTGCGGCCATTTTGTACTGGCTAGAGTGAGAGCCAATAGCTGGCTGCCACGAATAGGCAGGAAGATTCTATTGGGAAGCGTGAGAGCCAACAGCTGACTGACACGAATGTTAGCTAGCATGCAAAAAAATCGATAGCTGCATTCGTCACAAGTGGGAAAAATTTAAATCTGCATGGCACTTTACTCCAATTGGCTCATTCGCTTGCTTAAACTCAACATTGATTCTGATTCCGCAGAACTGGGTTGGGTGTGAAAAAGTATTTGTTGTTAACATTGTATTTCATTCGGTTTTCCAGTTACGAGTCCTTTTTTAAAGCTGATCGTTTTGTGTTCATTTTGTTTAGTTCTTTTTTCGTAACAGATTTAATGTTTAGTATAGAGATTAGAAAAAACTCGCAGTGTGAGATAGGCAAGAAGTAAGGCATGTAGCAACATCAGCACGGAAAAGGGCGTTCCTTTAAAGGCAAGGGAGGGAAAAATATTTTAAGTCAAGTGACAGCGATTGCTGTATGAGTCGTACAATTTTTGAATCAAGCACGGGCAACGCTGGGCCATGCTTCTAATATATATATATATATATATATATATATATATATATATATATATATATATATAAATGGCTCATACACTAATATTCCATGGTTATAATTTATTACATTGGAATCATAATCACAGTCAATACATCAGACCTAAAGCTCTTTTGAATGTATAGGTCTGATGAATTATATCTTGATTACGATTCCAATGTAATAAATTATTCTTTTTTTGGAAATTTATATATATATATATATATATATATATATATATATATATATATATATATATATACTGACTACTAAAATTATTATATATATATATATATATATATATATATATATATATATATATATATATATATCATGTTTATATATTGTAGTGTAACGTGAAGTCCCCGTAGTTGCCATTAACTATTCAGATTACAAACATTTGAGAATGAGAACCTTATCGTCTTATATATATATATATATATATATATATATATATATATATATATATGTATTATTATTTAATTTTTTGCAGCAAAAGTTGAAAGAAGAACGCGAAGCCAAGAGACAGCAGTTAGATGATCGACATCTGTATATTCTACAAACAGTGGCCGATTGTCTGCGACTGGAGAGAACCGAAGTTGAAGATGCCATTTTGGAAGGGGTTCAGGTAATTATTTATTTACTGTCTTAGGCAATACTATCATCTCGAACTTTAATGCCCTTTCATTTCCATCTTCAGTAAAACAAATATATTTCTTTTGTCACATATTGTTGAATATTTCCAATCAATTTTTCTGGGATACTGTCAATGGCTTGCGCGTATCCTTCCCAATCTCTTCACGGTAACTGCTCCGACGAGCTACTTTTGCTAGTTCCCAGACTGCATGAATTTAAGCGTGCTACTAGGCTGACATCACGGTCCCACCCTTTCACTGTCGAAACGGTTAAATGTGGCCGTCTCTTCTACACCAATAGCTTCATGTCTCGCACCGTCTGTCTGTGGAATTTCCTTCTTGTTACTTGTTTCCCTGATAGCTATAATCTCCAACTATTCAAATATAATGCCAGTCGACATCTCCAGATGCCCTGAACTATCCCCTGCTTTTCTCTTCATCCTTTCTTCCATCACACCTCTTTACTCTCGCTCCTATTCTGTAACCCCCTGCGTACTAGTGGCATCCCGCCTTGCTTGGGGCGAAATGCTTAAGTCATAAATAATTTTCGTTTTTATCAACAATTCTTCTAACCTTGAGGTACGGTGGAGTAATAGTTAGTGGCTGACATTGAATAATCGGAGAGCCGAGTTCGAGTTACAGTTGAGTTCATTGCATTCACGTACGCGCTAATAACATTGGGAAATGTATGAATCCATCACTTCCCCCAGCTATGGATAAAATAGCAGGTAACAACTGGGTCCTATAGCCTTTGGTGGCAATCAGTCTAGGAGAAGGAAACTATAAATTCAAACCACCTGTTGCCTTGTGAATTGAGAGGTAAAGGGTAATGGTGACTCCAGCAGCACAAAATGTGCTGAATAAAAGCGAAACCAATGAGTCTTCAAAAATAAAGTACAATTTCATTCTTTTTAACTATATATTCAACGTTATTTGCAAGGGTTTGTTGCCACTTACCAGGCAGCTCTTGCATACGTTTTCAGTAAAATTCCACAGCTTTTGATGTGAAAAGGTCTTCACAGAAACTTTTGCCGTCCTGGGTATGACTATAAACTACGTCTGGCAGCAAGGACTCTGATCGGAATGTTTTGAGGAGCGGAGAACCAACTCTTAATTAGTGTTGTTCCCAAGTCCACCCTGACCCGGGGTCATACCACATGTTATGGTTTCAGATATGAGCAAATAATTAACCTCCAAACTGCGATCAAAACATTATGAATGTATAAAAAAATGATAGTAAAAAAAAAAAAAAACAGAAATACAGCAGTCCATTTTTGTAAAATAAATTAATAATGTTCCAAGAAAATTAAATTTCACCCATAAAGTATTCATATGCCGCTAAACAAATAAGCAAACAAACAAGAAACTCTTGAATCTGGTTTTCATTAGAGCAAGTTTTCCTTATGAAAGTGTTTTTGTACTGACTGAAAACAGTAATAATCGGTTGGTCCAAAGTCAGGTGAATATGGCGGATGTTTAGAACAGGTAAATCGAGTTGCAAATTTACTTTCTTTTATTATTCTTAATGATATGGATCATTTAACATTCTTAACTATCAATCTTAATTATCAATCTTAATGATGTGCACCATTTTTATTTTAATCCACTGTGTACGCTGCCAGTACCGGACAAAAACGAAATCCTGTTAATCTAGTCCAAATTTAATTGGTACCACAACTGAATTTACATATAACTCAATATTTTCTCTTTGCTGCAATAATCACGATGCTGGATTTAAAAGTTTAAAGCGAAAACTTGGCAAAATGCATGATTTTTTTAACTACGTTTTATACGTCAATATTAATAAACATCGAAAAAATATGTAACTTTCAAGCAAGGATATAAACATATACAATCATCCAAAGACCGCCTGTTTCGCTGTATCACAGCTCATCACTGTGCTAGACATCCGATTTCTTCAAGCCGGGATCGAAATTGACCGATTTGACATCAGTCAAAACTTCTTACCTCTAGGCTATCGGCGCACAGCAGAGAAAATTGAATTTTTAACACATTATATATGTAGTATATAAACGCCATACCGGAAGTCATAGCCCTCAATTCTTACGAAGAGCAAAGCATTAAAGCAGCAGCAGTCGTTTAAAATTCCCCTTTTCTCCATAGTGCTCAATCGGCGAACGAGAGCATAAATAGAAAGCCTGTTTCGCTGTACCTCAGCTCATTAGTGTTCTAAATTAATTCTATATGGCATATTTTTTTTAAAAAATCGGTTTCACCCCATGTAAGGCAGTAAAGCCACTAAAACACAAGGGGCTATTGAGCATGGAAGAATTAGAATCAGAAACAATGATGAGCGCGAAGGCAAAATAGTAATGTTGTGGTGTCATCCCTCTAAAGAGTCTATGTTGAAATCTTCCGCCTACTATAAGATAAGTAGGAGAGAATGCCATGGGGGGGAACAGTCGAATAGATAGAACGCTGGGTCAACCGACACACACTCACTAGTCGTGTAATACTTTTCTGTTGTACTTACTGTTTAATATATATCTGCAATACTTGTTTTATTATTTTTTTAACCATTTACTTGGTCACAACAAGTAATCAGGGGGATATTAGATAGCGATTGACATTGCATTTATATTTTGACGCCTTATTTACTTTTCTAATTACGTCTCAATATATGTCGGAAGGAGGAAGAAGCATGCTGAGAATGCCATGGACTGAACGAAGTTTTAGAGAAAATGAAAACAAAAAAGAGAGTTATACGTAACATCAGAAGAGATATTTTTTTTTTTTTTACCAGTGCTCAATAACAACGAAAATTGCAACATGAGCTCTGGTAAAAACATGCAATGATAACAGCAAAAATTGCAATATGAGCACTGGTAAAAAATGGTTGCTGAAAACATTAGGTGTATAATACCCAAAAATTAACATACACAGATATCCTCAAGGACACATGGCACAGTGGATAGAGGCGTTAGTTAGATCCAGTGACAGGACCCAAAGAGTGTGAGTTCAATATCTGGTTAAGGCGTTGGAGAACTTGGAGAGGGGAATTAACAGTAGTTAACTGATATCCATTAGGCATGGCAGGTGGAACTAGAACAATCTACCCCACCGAGCGAAATAAAGGCTTCAGTTCGACATTCCAACCACCTGAAGAAGGCCGGGCTTACAACGGTCGAAACGTGATAAATATGGTAACAATAATGTAAATAGTGAAATTCATGTATGTAATATGCGTACATGGTGGCTGCGACTTGATTTCGAGCAATTCTATCGCTTGATTTCCCCTCAAATAAATACAGCGTGGATGTGTCTTTTTTTTCTTGCTAGAGTAACACATTCTCTTGCATAGATGTGGTAACATTGGGTATCATTTGCAGTAGTTGTTGCATAAATGCATGGAATAAATGGCCTCGGTGTGTAGCCTGTTTGATGATTTTTGAGACCTAACTCGCACATTCCTTACACATCAAACATGTGATGACTTTCGACTTGTTGATCGAGTATGACCATAGCTGACAAGTTTCATTTTAGTTCCCGTGAGAACGACAATGGCTTTTTAAATCAGGACATGACTTGCAAATCTTATTGCAAATGTGACAAATTTATCTATTCACTATATTACATGGCCTGATTTTGTAAGTTCTGTTCGGCTGGTTCGTGGGTGACGCCCTAGACCGACGTGATTTCTTTAGGTTTTCTACCACACAACACATGTTAAGTTATTTCCTACGTAGGAATGGTTGTGGCTGACGAGGCCGGCTTTAGGGAGACATACTTTGCCACATTAATCAATGGTAATTTTGCCACATTCGTCACGTGTAATTGGATTAGAGGATCAATGGTTTCTCCATTCACTAATTGCACACTTATCATGAAATATAAGCAATTAAATAACACACACACACACACACACATATATATATAAGCATACAAAAACGCATGCAAAAAATATACTAAAATGTTATCAAAAGTACTTTGCCAGACTTCTTCAATGAAACATCTGTTAAACAGGGATTGCTCCCCCGATGCACAACCAGACATATCTATCTATATGACGGCTTAGGGGTAGAAACTCTGACTGACACCAGATCGGTTGGGTTTGAGGCATTCAGGTGTCTAGTCGCACTAGACACAGTTCTGTCTGCGAAGGACATACCTATATCTATCTATCTATCTATCTATCTATCTATCTATCTATCTATATTTATATTTCATTAAAGACGACAGACAAGGTACTACGATCAAACTTTTTATTTAGTGGTGTTATTTTCCTTGTTGGATGCCGGGTCGCGTAATTTGATAATTGTGCATTTAGACAGCAATCCTTCATTTATACATGTTTCATTAAAAACGAGAGACAAGGTACCACACACACTCACACACACACACATATATATATATATATATGACTAATATATGCAACTTCGTGTTAGCCTAACCATCGACGATTTCCGAAATTTTATTCTTTAATGGATATCCATATTTGAGTAGACGCTCCATTCTTTCGTCTACCGTCCAACTGAAGTAATGAAAGTATCTGATTAAAAGTAAAATCCATTAAATCACGATATATATATATATATATATATATATATTTTGGGTTAAAAATATAATTTTAACGAATGATATATTTATGGGTTAAAGTGCTGAATATCAGGGATAGAGCGTATGTAAATATAAAAGTAGACATTGAAGTCAACAAACAGCGTCGAAAGTCTTGAACGCAAGCTTCAGATCTGAACGATGAAACAGACTGTCGCCGCTGTTTACTGATGTCAATGTCTTCTTTCAATTGTGTGTGTATATATATATATATATATATATATATATATATATATATATATATATAATGAGCTAACAGTCGAAGCGGAAAATGACTGAATCTGAAACACCGTCTCCATTTTCCTGAATTGTGTATTCAGCATTCTAGTCTTGTCTACTATTTTTCTTTTTAGTATTATATATATATATATATATGAGTGTGTGTGTGTAATGAAATGGACTAAATTTGACAATTATTTTAATACATTTACTGTATGTTATTTATACGGAACTGTCATATAGCCTGTCGTGCTATATTATTTAGCTACCGAGTTAGCCTCTGGTTAGCAAAGTCAAATTACTGTTTCTAAACAACAAATTTCTCATGCTTTATTAAAACGCTCATATCTGCTTGAAGCGTATCTTAACGCATACAAATGACATCATATATTATGAAATAGACTAAGTCTAACAATTATTTTAATATATTTTCTGTTTACAGTTTCTATTCCTGTCGGAGGACACATTCAGGCCAGTAAATGTAGTTAATAGTGTTTCTTATATACAGAGCATTTACTTAATATTTCTATCTATAAAAATAAAGTATAAACAGAAAATATATTAAAATCATTGTTGAACTTAGACCACTTCATAATAAATGCTTAAGTTAAGATACGCTTTGAGCAGATATGAGCTTTCGAGAAAAATCATGGGAAATTTGTTGTTTAAAAACAGTAATTTGACTTTGCTAACCAGAGGCTTCCGTCTTCCATTCCCTATCGTCGTTTGGCTTTGCGAGAGTTGGTTGGAAGTTAAACAAAATCAGACTAGTAGAAAGTGTCGATGGCGTAAATTTGTTTAATTTGTGGGACTCAACTGGCCAGGAAGTGACCCACACACTTCATTTAATGACCTTCCTCCGCGGCACATGTGGTATGAGACATGCAGAATCCAGTTATAAAACTGCAATCGACTGCCGCTGACAATGTTATAATTACAAATGACGCTTTCTGTAGCATGTCCGTCATGCGTAGCCATCTTTATCCGCTGGTTCAACCGTTAAGATCTGTTGTAATCGTCTCCCGCTTGTTCAACCGTTGGGGTTTTGGGGGTTGGTCGCACTTAGTCTGGGTTCTCGTCGAAGGGTAGCCTTACCAGAAGTTCATAAATCCTGACGGCATCGCTCCCAGACTCATTGGACCACGCACACCACCCCGTTGCTAGTTTTAAATAAATAGCCAATAAGAACAGGACGCTTTTTTTTCTTCTAGTCTGAAATAAATAGACAATAAATAAACGGTATCTTTTCTCTGCTAGCTTGAAATAAGTAGCCAACAAGAACAAGACACTTTTCTAGATCGAAATAAGTAGCTAATGAATACACGGTGCTTTTTCTCTGGTAGCTTGAAATAATTAGCCAATAAGAACACGACGCCTTTTCTCTTCTAGTTTGAAATAATTAGCCAATAAGAACACGACACTTTTTCTCTTCTCGTTTGAAATAATTAGCCAATAAGATGTTATGATGTTGATTTGGGGTTAGTAGAGACAAACGCCAAATAACACGTAACAATAAAAATGGTTTTAATAGGTTGGTAAAAAGGTACAGCAATCGCCTGAGTAGTCAATAACTAGCTCAGCTAAGAACTGCTCCAACTCTGACTGTCTTTTGACATGCCACTATTTAACGTCTTTGCTCGCAGACAAGTTCATCTTCAAGAGGGGTGGTAGGTTTCCGACACAACATAAGAAGATGGCGCTTTTTCTATTCTCGTTTGAAATAATTAGCCAATAAGAACACGACGCTTTCTCTTTTCCAGTTTGAAATAACTAGCCATTTTAATAATTTCAGATTGAAACAATTCACAGATTCCTGGGAGTTTCTGGTTCTCGGCAGATTATGTTTTATTATCAAGAACCCGATATAGATAAAGATTCGGGTAAGTTGACTTTTCATATTATCAGTATTTATCATATAATTTAGAGGTCACTATCTTGGGAAAAGGAATCAGCCTAATAGGTTCCAATCCCAGTTCACGCTGTTAGTTTTCTCCCCACAACATGTATACACGGTCTCGTTTTACTTTTTCTCTGTGAACAAAATCTTGTTATAACGAAGCATAGATAAAGTAGACAAAGAAAGCCAGAGCGAAGGGCATTCATTTTAAGAAGGCAGAATGCTTGGTTGTCAGCAAAAGAAACAACCAAATGTCTGAGCTGCGTATTGGGGAAGTCAAAAGCAAACAGCTACAGAAAATAAACTCTCTGGGTAGTGTGTAGTAACAAAAAGTGTGAAAATGAAATCCTAATGCGCGTAGGAACAGCAAAATATGCCATCCAAAAACTAACTTAAGTATTAAGAAATTGGATAAAGTCCTTAGAAACAAATAAAACATTGCGGGGCAACTGCGGAATGTTTAATCTTTTGTATATCCTCAAAAATGTCTAAACGGCATAAGAACAAAATGGACGATCAGGACCAACTTAAATTAGAACTCGGAGATTTAAGTTTCATTTGCACATCTGTATGACAACTGCCGCTTCCGTACAGTAAAGGGCCATCTCCTCAACGTTGAGCAGAGCGAGGTTGGCTTGTAAATGAATGTGGTACACGAAAAACTTCTATAGAATCTTGAAGGTGACTTTCTCCTCGTTCACTCTCATATCCTGCTTAAGACCCGCACACTTTACCACAAAAAGTGATATAAGCAACCTGCAGGATTGTCAGGAAGGACATCCACATCATTAGATTGTTGATTTTCCTGCGATCATAGATGATTAGAAAAATCCAGCCCGAGATAGAGCAATCTTTGCATAGATGTTACATCAAGTCTACACTACCTTTGCTAAGAACCATTTTCTACTTCGAATGCTCATAACATTTGATTTCAAAGCAATTGCAGCCATCAAAAACTAGCTTTCACCAACGAGACATATTCTTTGCCCTTTTCCCTTTTGACATTAATTTCAAGAGTTTTCTAGTTACTTTTAGCAACATTATTTTGTCCGAGGCGCTTACCAAGAGAGAACACTCCTTAAAACAGGTGTTTAGGCAATCCCCTATCTTATATTCTCCTGGGGTACTCTTGGGGTACTCTGTCCCGTGCATCTGATTACGAATGAATGCTTTCTCTATAATGATAATCAGAAAGAGATAGAAGGCTTGGAGAATTTAACACTCACAGGACACGCTGAAAGCAAGAGAAGCAGTGTGAGGAGAAACGGTATGTTAGAGTACATGGATGCCAAAACAAGGAGAAAGTGCGATGGTAAAAAGAATAAGAGTGTCAAATGATGCTATGGAGAGCCATGATCGTTTACGTCCTGAAAGAACATGGCATACAGAAGAAGAAGAAGAAGATTTTTCTAACAATTTAACAAAAACTGTAGAAAATAATTTCTTCCTTGCTTGCCAGCCCTGGATATGACGATAAACTACATCCGGCAGCAAGGCCTCTGATCGCTTTTGAGGGGCGTGGAGCCTGCTCTTTCTGTTGTTTTCAGGTTTACCCTGACCTGGTGTGGTAGTACCTGTTAGGGTCCCAGCTAAGGGCAAATAGTATAACCTCAAACAAAAACAAAACACTATGAAAGTATAAAATTTTTATAGTAAAATAGTATCAATACATTTTTATATGAAAAATGATCAACAATGCATAGTAAAAGGATCAACAATATATTTTATCTGTAGTTAAAAGCATAAAATTGCATTCAATTGCGTTCAAAATATTAGATTTCGACATTAAATAACCACTACACGTTGCTATGGCGCTAAACAAAATCAGCCAACCAAACAACCACATGAAATAACTCTTTCTTGACATTAATCCACATAATTTCTTACAATTTCTTAAAGAAATCAAACTGTATTCCAAAATATAACTTCAACAAAGCCACAAAATAAACAACACATATTACCGTAACATCTAGCAATTATGTACACACAAACATGTATCTGTCTATATTTCTGAGATGGGGTATTATGTACACTATTTAAATTGTTCGGACTATCGTCCTCATCTTTGTTGTCATATTCATAACAACGTTTCGGCCGTTGTACGCTCCGGCCATGTTCATGTGGTTGGAATGTTGAACTGAACCCTTTATTTCGCTCGCTGGGGTAGACTGTTCTAGTTCCACGTGCCATGTTTAATGGATGTCAGTTATCAGTTATCTCCTGTTAAATCACCTCTCCAAGTTCTCCACCGCTTTAACCAGGTATTGAACTCACACTCTTTGGGTCCTACACTAGATCTAACAGCAGCCCCAATAAACTGGGATAGGCTCATAGAAGAGGAGGACAACAACACTCAGAAAACAGTCTGTCTAATGTGAAGGGGTTATCGGAGAAAATACAAAGGATCTGCGGTCCGTATTACATCAGGACAACCTTCAAAAGCTGGACGACACTTCGCAGATACCTCTCCCGTGTAAGACCCCCTCCCATAGAGGAGAACAGGACTAAAGACTGTTTTTATGCCATCCCGTGCAGCTGCGGAAAGAAATATAAGGGGGAGACAGGCCGCCCCCTCAAGGTAAGGCTTCAAGAACACCAGAAAACTGTAACACGAGGGAAGTAGAAAAATCAGGCGTGGCTGACTACATATGGAGAGAAAAGGGCTCTGTGGGTTCAGGTTGAAATTATAGACAAAGAAAATCATTGGAAAATTCGTAAACTTAAGGAATCAGCACATGTGCTAGGCCACAAAAATCTCCTGAGCCGACCAAGCATAGAAATGAATACAATATGAGAACCAGTAATAAGGAGTGCCAGAGAAAAGCGATAATAACTACGAAAATTGCAATGTGAGCTCTGTTAAAAAATATGCAATGATAACAGAAAAAAATGCAATATGCGCACTGGTAAAAATGGTTGTTGAAGATATTAGGTTTATAAGCCCCAGAAATTCATACACGACGTCCTCAAGGCACATGGCACAGTGGATAAAGGCGTTAGTTAAATACAGTGACAGGAATCAAAGAGTGTGAGTTCAATACCTGGGTAAAGCGGTGGAGAACATGGAGAGGAGAATTAACAGGAGATAAGTGACATCCATAAGACATGCACGTAGAACTAGCGAGCATAATAAAGGGTTCAGTTCGATGTTCCAACCACCCGAAGAAGGCCGGAGCGTACAACGGCCGAAACGTTGTGATAATATGGCAACAAAGATGAGGACGATAGTCCGAACAATGTAAATTGTATACAAACATGTATATGCACAAAGGCTGAGTATCATCTACCATGTATTCAATTGCGAAATCAGAATGACATCATATTTTTATTACTTCAAAGCACCCAAGAAAATTAAATTATATGTTGATATGCCGCTAAACTAACAAATTAAATCAAACCCTTGCCTTTCCTGCTTGAATTTGAACTTCCTTATGAGGAAATACTTCATTGGGAACACTAAAGAAATCATCCACCGAGACAGTCAGATTTGGTCTACTCATACGATCGGAAGTCCGTAATTTTTAAAAATCATTACCCTTCCTAGGTTTCTATGCTCGATGCACGCTTGGGCGATGGTGTCTCTTCGATTCAAAACTGACTAGAGAGAAATTTTCCCTTGGTAAGCTAACGTTATTTAGTGCAAGTGTCTTGTTGCCAACCAAAGTTAAATGGCCCAGTCTGTCTTGATATTTAACCCATAGCTGGAGATAGAAGAGATGGAGCCATACATTTCCCATGAGTAGTTGCGTGTAACTGAATGTAATGAACGTTACCTGAATTCGAACTCTGCTTTCTGATTTCTCATTCCGAAATTACAGCATCTGATATTCCCGAGCAGTCACCCATCTAGATACTGACCAGGCACGACGTTGCTTAACTATTAAGCAGCTTCCTGTTATAACCGTATTTAACCACAAACATCTGTTCAAAAAGCTTAAGTGAATCTAACTTTCACTTAAGGGATTCAGGGAATCTAACTTTCACTTAAGGATTCAGGGAATCGAACTTGGATTTTGCCCATTAAGATTCATTTTCAGTTTAGAATGTGATACTATTTGTGATACTATTTGTAGTTGCCGCGATAAAACGGAAAAACAGTTTTAATAAAACATAAGAAAGTGTTATGTGCCAAGAGACATCGAAACGAGAAGGGTTAATACCAAAAGAAGAAAAATTTCATTTTCGCTAAACAACGAATTTGGAGTTGATTCTCCTGGTTGAAGTTGATTCAAGACAGGAGGGGGGTGGATAAGCTCACTGAGTAAGTCTATTGAGAGATATTTGATATGAGAGATTAAGAGAAGGGAATTCCTCAAAATTATGTCCATAAATACGAATGCGCGAAGCGAATTCGCCAGTCGGAGTAGAAGACAGAGTTGAAACGACAGAGAGTTTGTCCCAGCCACCGGTCTTGATACGCCCCACGTGATTGCCTGCTGAAGAGGAGCCTACTACTTTAGCTAAACATTACCAACAACAGCAAACCAGATTTTGCCAGGTCGACAATAGTGTCATTTCCGATTTAGATGCAGGTTGATAATTAATTGCATGCGAACTCTGATATGAACCAATTATTTTACGGAAGGCTGGTATAAAAACAGTATTTACTTTTGTTCAATTTATTCGGGTTTTATTTTTTTCTTTACGCCATTGCCCTGCTTGGACCGACCCAACACGAAGATATCTGCGACGATTCGATCTTGGCTACCTTATGATCTAAAAATCACAACGCGGGATAAGGTTAGATCTGGATTGAAGCGGTCATTTCAGCGACCAGTCGCCGTGTTGGAAGTCTTGGACGACCAGGTGGGGGTGAAAACAATCAAGATTTTTAATGAAACATGGAAGGTAAAAGATTTGCAATGTCATCACAGAATTCCACGAGCGGATAATGAGTACTTCGTAAGAACGCTAACTCTTGGATACGTTTCCTATGAAATTAAAATTACAGAACTCAGAGAATCATATCTATATTTTCATTAACATTTTTATTGCCTTGGAAAATCTTCAACTTTTACGGAGAGGTAACTGCAAGAAATTGGTATGAACACCACCCAGACCCGGTTACAGAGAAGGGATCTGTAACAATTTTCTGGGACTTTACAATACACAAGAACAGAACAATGAAA